AAAAAAAAAGAAACAGGATTGGAAAAATAAGCCAGAGTCCTATTTTTTCCACTAGTTAAATCAGAAATCACAATATGGAAAATCATAACATACCATAGTGCTGTTTTTTTGGATAGAATTGGTTTTYTATCCAGAAAGATTACAATCCAGGCAAAGAGCCAGCCCTGGATGYTGGGATGGTTTGGGGAGAGATTAAAAAAAAAATKAAACAGAAACCCTCTCAGAACRTTCCTACTCCTTGCATTTCTGCAAGCAGAGCCTAAAATTCTCATTTCCCTCGTGCTGCATCCTCTCCTGCCTGCCAGAGTTTGAGGCTGTTGGGAATATTCTGCAAAATTCAGGGAAGGTGTTCACAGGAACAAGGCAGGGGCTGCACAAACAGAATTTGTGCAGCTCCAAAACTCCCAAAATCCATCCCTGGCAAGGCCTTTGTGGCTCAGGAGGAGAAYTCCCAGCTCTGCCATGGTTTAGCCCACAGAACAGACAGCTCAGACTYTTTTGGAGGGGATTTGGGAATGCTCGAAATGCAGAGCTCAACTCTCCTCACSCGGCTGAAAAATCAAAGTTATGGAATYGCAGAATTGTTTCAGCTCAKCTCATTCCAACCTCCTGCTATGGGATACATTTCAGGACCTTTAATTACTTTCCACTTGAGCTCCAAGTCCCATCCTACTTTTCCAACATAAAATGGGGAAAAAAATCTCTTTTGCCTCTGGACCTACACCCGTGGCTGTGGAGGGACAGCCGTTCCTGGGSATTTTGGAATTTGAGTCCTTCAAACCCACTGAATGTTTCTGGAGATTTTCTTCCTRATTAAAAGGTAAAGAATTTGTTTTCCTCACAGAAAATATTGTTCCAAAAGAAGAAATGGATGGAAGGGCTATTTTCAGGGAAAGGTTTTTCTGTCCCCAAAGGGTGCTGGGAATGGAATGGGCACTGCCCTGAAGCTGCCAGAGCTCCGGGGTGTTTGTGGGTGCACAGGGGGGATTTTTTTTACAAGGACAGGGGTTGGATCCATGATCCTTGGGGGTCCCTTCCAACTCAGGATGCTCCATAATTCTATGATGAGTCAGCACTTTAAATGAGGATAAAAAGTAACCTCTTGTGATATCGCTCCGTTAATTTTGACTCATTAACACAAACCGATTTTACCAAGTTTCCTCCTGGCCCAACACCGTGTTCCCACAAATATTTAACATTTTATGCCATCCCTAGCCCGTGGGCTGCCATAAATCACAGCACCTGGGCTGTGTTTGTTGTCAATAAGGTGATTCTCATTAGCCACTGTAACCAGGTTTGCATTCACAGGGAGCRCACAGCGAGCCATTTATATGACTGCAGATGTTATCAAAACCCAGACCTTGGAAAAAAAAAATGATTCAGGAATTTATTCTAAASCCTGCTCAGCCTTCCAAGCCAGAGCAAACAGAGGACAACCATCTGCAGCTGATTTCAATGACCCTGTAAAATAATTCTTCAATTTAAGCCGTTTATTTTCTGGTATTTATGAYACTCTCTTAGCAACTTCGAATTTAATTTGTTTTTCCCCGCACATACTGTCATCTGCTGTTTGGTACACATTCATTTTTCCCTGTGACTAAACTGAGACCAAATTAACATAAACTTTAGYGGGGATGACTTTGGTTTTTGGAACACTTCATCATTTTCAAAGCTGTCCTTGTGTCTCACAGCACCACAAAGTCGGTCCCCTCCTGGCTGCCCTCAGCACTCAAATGGGTTTATTCTGCCTTCATTTATCCCAATTGAAGAGTTTCCATCCASAGTTACCTCCCACGCAGGCTGGGAGTTTGAAAAGAGGACATATTTCARGCTTWGATTTATTTTTGTGGCTCMTGTAATGAGAGGATCAGGGAATTTYGGAATGGTTTGGGTTGGGAGGGATTTCAAAGTCCATCCAGTGCCACCCYYTGTCACGGGCAGGGACACTTTCCARAATCCCAGRCTGCTCCAAACCCTGTCCAASCTGGCCTGGGACAYTTCCAGCCACAAATTATCTGGTCAAAACCCAAAATCTCATATGAAAAAGRACTTGGATCTATGGATTTCCTGACCTCTGCATTTGTGGGATCTCCCACAAACCAACCCCACTGAGAATTTGAAGCCCAAAGTGTTGGTAAACTTTTCCAGAGTTCTCGTGACTGCAAAGATTAAACAGCCCSAAAGAAGCTTTGATGAGCTCCATCAGCAGGTTAATAATGTTTCCTGACATAACTGTTGTGTGTAGTCACGTTATTCCCAAAATGCAGCTACCAATTAAAGACTATTCAGAAATTAGTTTGTTTTATAGCAGGAGCAAACTAATTATGGGCCTTAATGGAGCTTGGGAAAGAGATTACTTTGAAAAATGTGAAATAATAAGTTTGTTGTGTTCTCCTTCTTTGTCCTTCTCTGACCTCCCCAAAAACTTGCCAAGAGTCATGAAATGCTGAGCACAGAATTCACTGAACCAAAAATACACTGTTGTAGGATCACACACAACAGCCCCAGTTTCCAGCAGGATCTTCTAAAAAGTGACCCCTAACTATTATAATGCCTTTATGAGAGCTTGGAAATTGAAAATTATAACCCTGACTTTCAAAGAAACTGTGTAACAACTGCAAATAGCTGGGAAATGAGGGCAACGGGGTGGATTTCAGCCTGAAAGGTGGCAAAGGTTTCCAATGTCTTACACTTCCCAACACGGCTCCCAAGGTTTCACTCTTGGTTGACTTTCCAAGCAAGGAAAATATTTATCAAATATTTATCCTCAAAAGCCTTAATTTTGAGCTTACTGAGCACGAGGAGAGCCCAAGGGAGCATTTCCAGCCCATGGAAACACTTCCAGCCCATGAAAACACATCCAGCCCATGGCCTTTTCCATGGATTCCCAGAGCCAGGAGCAACATCACTCTGCCACCTGCAGCTCCACAAAAGTGATGTAGGCACATTTAGGTGGGATATTGGGAAGGAATTCCTGGCTGGAAGGGTGGGGAGTTCCTGGAATAGAATTCCCAGATTTGCTGTGGCTGCCCCTGGATCCCTGGCAGTGCCCAAGGCCAGGTTAGGTCAGCCAAGATCATCTTCTCCCATCCTCTTCTAGGGGCACTTAATCTTCACAGAATCCTGGAATGGTTTGGGTTGGAAGGGACCTCAAATCCCATCCAKTGCCACCCCATCCATGGGCAGGGACACCTCCCACTGTCCAGGGTGCTCCAAGCCCTGTCCAACCTCCTCCAGAGCATCCCCACCCTCACAGCCAGGAATTTCTCCCCAATATCCCATCCACCCCTGCTCTCTGGCAGTGTGACCCCATTCCCTGTGTCCTGTCCCTCCATCCCGTGTCCCAATTCCTCTCCAGCTCTCCTGGAACCCCTTTTAGGAATCTGAGCTCTCCCAGCCCTTGGAGCAGCTCCGTGGCCTCTCTGGATTCACTCCAACAGCTCCACTTTTTTTTTTTTTTTTTTTTTTTTTTTTTTTTTTTTTTTTTTTTTTTTTTTTTTTTTTTACCAGCTGCTTTCTGAAAGAAAAAGCACCCTGAGCTTCCAAAAATTCTCCTTCACAAGGCACTGCTGGCTGTGCCAAGCAGAAAAAATCACATCCATGTAGAACATCCTCACCACTCCCAGAAAAGTTAAACAAACCTTCCCTATTTTTGAGCAATTCCCATTTGGATCCTTCACACACAGCCTAACTCAGACTTAGTTCCAGCCATGAACTCCTCAGGAATGTTCACTATAATATTTTTCAGCCTGCAAATGTTAAAAAAAAAAAAATGCAATGCATAGGAAAGCAGAGGAAATATTTCCTGTGTTTTCCTCTGCTCCCTGCTGTTCTCTGGAGCCCCGTGGGGGTTTACGTGAGTTAAATCCTAATATTGTCCATAAGGTTTGCCTTCTGGGGGTTTATTAGGAAAAGGATGGGCTGGCTGCAATTCCCTGCCCAGCGAGGGGTACTGATCAGGGGACTGAACACATATCCTCTGAACAAACCCATTCCAGGCCTCTGAGAAGGGCAGGAAGGGTGGGGATCAGCCTGAAAGGGAATTCCTGCATCAACCAGGCTTTTTCTAATCCCATGGAAATGAGCAGACACGACCCCAAAACTGCAGGCAGAATTAATTACCTGCCAAAAGTGTTTCACGTGCCCCAAGAACTGAGCCCCCCCAAACCTCAGCAGCTCAATACACCCACAGAAAACTACTTTTTATTTCTGTCAGGAATCGAGACTTTAACCCCAGGAGGCCAAACATTCCAAGACAGTGCTTTCCAAAGGCACAGTTTCCATAATTGCCCAGCTCTACCATAAACCAGRACACACTGGGATGTGTTCTCAAAAACCCTGCCTGGCAGCCTTACAAATTTTATTAATGGTTATTTAACTCTCAATCACTTTTCCTTCATGATTTTCTCCTCAGGCTGTGGTGTCTGGAAATGAAGGGGAACTCTCTGATGCAGGAGTTTTCCAGGCCTGAATTCCCAGTTTTTAAGCAAAATGAATAGGTTAYAGTGAATGAGCTGCAATGAAGAGCAGTGGAAGAGAACAGCTCCTCCAAGAGTTGGTCCTTCGAGGAAAAGAGAAGAAATTTGGAAACCAGGCAGCTTCCTCAGTTTGTGAGATTCCATTCCCTGAAAAAACAGGGTCTGGAGAAAGTCCTGCAGAGGTCTCTGGTGCAGGGACTGAGCACCAGAGCAGTGACAAAAAGTGGCTTTTAAACCCCTGAAATACGTGACCCTAAACCTACAATTGTGCAAAGTTACAAAATCTTTGTTTTTATAGGATTTCTGGTCACTGTAACAAATCACAGAATTATTAAGGATGGAAAAGACCTCCAAGATCATCAAGTCCAAGTGGACATTATAGTTTAGCCACGKKSTGAAACCACTCCCAKTTTGAGTCCAGGGAGGACCAGAGCWCTGTAAAGACTTCCTGAAAAGAGGCTTTTGCTGGGRTAGGAATTCCAATGCTCAGCATTCCTGGAAATAGCTCTAAATAGATCATCTTCCAGCACAGCAATTCAGCCACAGCTGACTACAAAAGGAGCAGCCCTTTTGTAAAAAAAGCAGCCCTTCAAATTCTGTTTCAAACTGGTGTCTTAAAGACAAGCTCAACTCATTTTTCTGCGAATATCTGGATTTCCAAGAAGGAATTGGCAGTTAATGGGAAGGAATTGGGCAGGCAGCCTCACAGGCTGCTGGAATGAGGTACCAGTGAGGGGCAGATTCTGAACTAACCCAGGGAGAAATCTCTTCCATGAAACAACACAGCAACCCTCAGTCTCCAGTAGGAAGCAACTTCCCAAAATGGAGAAAAGTAGGAATTCCATAACTGCTAAAAACTCTGACCAGCTTGGACAAGGTTTGGAGCAACCTGGGATAGGGGAAAGTTTCCCTGCCCATGGATGGGCTTAAAGGTCCCTTCCAACCCAAAACATTCCAGGATTTTGTGATTCCATGATTCACTTGCTGTGGGAGAAGAGATGACCAACAATCAGGATAAAATTCCTGCTCATCTCAGCCCCCAAAAGCTCCCTGAAGGCATTAAAGGGCACCACTCTGCAGTGACTGATGCAACTCATTACAGATCTCAGGGCAAGAACAACAGCTCTGATTTATAGAACACGACTCAAGGCAGAAAAAGCCCCAAGGTGGCATCAGATAAATTGGAGAAATCACTGTAAGTAGAAGAAAAGCAACTTTGGAACAAATAGTTAATGGCCAGAAGGCAGCATGTAATAGTGGCTCTAATTAAATATTCATTTTTCTCCCTTCACTCTGAGCRAGTGCAGCTCTCAGGCACTTTGGGGAAATAGCAGAGTTAAAAAAAAAGGCAAACAGGACAAATGACTTCAGTTTATTTCTCCTGCCTCAGTTTGCAGGCCCAGTGTCCAAAAGCACTGGAGGCCAAGAGAATCTCTTGGAGTTTGCTGTGAATGAATGGCTGGGAAGTCAATGACTAATGCCCAATCTCTTTCTCCTACTCCACCCAAAACATTTTGCAATATATAATAAAATCAGCATATTCAAGAGGATTTTTTAACTCACAAACACAAAATGTCATTACTGGGTGGCCTTTTAACAACTTTCAATTGTGAAATGCTCCTCCAATTGCAGTATTACACAGGTCAAACTTTCAATCGTTAGTCCAACCCAGCACCACCTCCATGTTCACCACTAAACCACACTCTCAAGTGCCACATCCACGGGTTTTTTGAGCAATTCCAGGGATGGTGACTCCATCCCTGCCTCTGTACCTGCACAGAAAACAGGCAGGAGTTTACACAGTGGCTTTTTTGACCAGGCAGCAGCAGCAGCCAGTGCCAGATCACAGCAATGAACAGCAGCACTGAGTATTCCGTGGCCCCACTTGCACAGACTTGCAGGCTCCTGCTCCGGTAACAGCAAAGGAAATGCTCTGCAAACAGCTCAGCGTGGGTGGCTCTCCATAAATTCATCATCTTCGATACTTCCCCGAAATGATCAGCTCCTCCTTCCCAAGAAATGCTGTTGTAAAAGGTGTGCGGCTGCTAAATGGGAAATTAAACCTGATTTCAGCTGCACGAACACTAATTGGATAAATACCTTTCAAAATTATGCACAAGTCATTTCTAGTTGAAGGGATGGAGCAATTAAGCTGCTCCAAGCCAAGTCTATCCCAGTGGATATACTTGAAGCCTGCCAGCTTCCTGGACTTGCACTCCCACRGCACGTGATCCAAACTGCAGAGGATTTTATTGCTCTCAACTCAAGCCAAACTCCAAATCCCATGGCTGGAAGGTTACACAAGAACTGTGCAGCTTTAATCTGTGCTCATGGGAAACTGTCTGAAAGTCTGGGCTCCACAAAACTTGTGTGATTTCTTCTGGACAAGGTGGGCATCCCTTTGGGGACACTGACAGCTCCCAGCAGGGACTGTCACCTGCATGCAGCCACTTTCCCCCACCATGGGAGCTTTGCTGCTCAATGACCCAAAAAATTACACAACACTAAACTAGAATCATATTCAGACAGCAAAGAAGTTGAAGATTTACCCCAGCAAACTGGGACAGTTCACAGCTGCTGTTTGCTGTTCTGCTCTAGATGTTCCTGTGGCTGTAAATGGGAATTCTGCCCCAAAATCCAGACACGGGGACACTCCCCCTACGCCTCATGACAATGTATGCAGAGGTGTGTAAGTTGGTGTATCATAAAGAGCTTTCTTTGTGTGAACAAGCTGCATGAGCAATTTACAGGGTTTTAAAAGCGAACACTAAGGACATAAAGGACACATTTTCATCCATCACCAGCATTTCCCTTAGAAAAAAAAAATAGTATGGGAAGCAGAAGTCATTTCAATTGCAAGAATGAAGGTGTCAGCTCCATGATGTGACCTTGCGCTGCCCGTACAAGACTCGCACAAATCAGGTCACTGCACTCATATCCGGGAGCAGCTCTCGGAGGATGCATTTTCCGTCAGAACCAGCTTTGAGCTCACCCTCACACCTCCCCGAGCCACCGCTCACCCAAAACATCCACCAGAGCGGGCGGTGGCACTCGGAATCCTTTACCTGCAGAGCGGAGGGGCCGAGCCCGAAGCTGAACTTGTCCCAGAGCCCGGTGCTGCCGGGGGCTTTGGCGAGCCCCACGACGGCGTTGTGGGCAGAGATGCTGACGCTGCTCTCGGGGGACAGCAGGCTGGCAGCGGGAGGGAACTGCAGGAACAGGGCGAAGGGGCCGCTGTCGGTGCAGAAGCGGAGGCTGTAGTGATGGGTGCCCACRTCCCCGCACAGGCTGTGGGGATGGATGCCGGGCACCAGCACCAGCAGGGTGATGGATGCCTCGTCCTGCCGGGCATGGAAGGGAGGGCACGTGGTGGTGGCCATCTGAGGGCCGGGGTGGCCCTTTGAGGGCTGCGGAGGGGTGTCCCCGCTGGGCACGGCTGGCTCGGGGCTGGCGATGGGGGAGGCAGCAGCGGAGGGGGCAGGGGGCTCGGTGGGGGGATCAGCGAGGGGGTCACTGGTGGGTTCGGGGAAGGGTTCAGTGGTTGGAGCACCAGGGGGTTCAGCAGGAGGTTCAGAGGCTGGATCAGTGGAAGGTTCAGCGAGGGGTTCAGCAGACGAGTCAGTAAGGGGTTCAGAGCTTGGATCAGCAGGGGGTTCAGCGGGACGAGCGGGTGGATCACAAAGTGGTTCTACGGGGGATGCACAAGGATCGGCAGATGGACCAGCGGATGGCTCAGAGGGAGGATCGCAAAGTGGYTCAGCGGGAGGTTCAGCGATGGGCTCGGCGGGTGGATCACCGCGCTCCCCGCCGCCCCACGTGTTCCGGGCCGCGCTGCCGTGCTCCGGGAGAGGAACCGCCCCGCCGCCCGCCTCCGTCAGCTCTGCCGGCCCCTCGGCAGTGGGCTCGGTCTCCTCCAGCCTCTCCCCGACCGGGGCCGGCGGTTCCCGCGGGCCGGGCGGCGGCACCACGGGYAGCGTGACCTGCAGCTGCCGCTGGGCCCGGTTGAACGTGGCCCRCCCGCCGCGCTCGTCTACGGCGTAGGGGAGGCGGAGCCGCAGGCGATAGGCGGGACTCTGCGAGTCCAGCCACAGCTCCCGCCCGCGGATCTCCAGCTCCGCCTGCTCGGCAGAGCGCAGCAGCGGCAGCTCCACCGTCACCACCAGCTCCCGGGGCACCGGGCTGGGCGCCGAGTCGCGGCAGCAGCGGTGGTCCTGCAGGTCCACGTAGGAGCGGTGGCGGATGCTCCAGCGCGGCGTGGTGGGGCCGGAGGGCGGCGGAGGCGCGGCGGGCGAGGAGCCTCCGGCGGCGGGGACCGGGGGAGCGGCAGGCGGGAAGGGGAAGGGCGGCAGCGGGGAGTCTCCGTCGTCGGGCGGCTTTGGGGCGCCGCCGGGTAGCGGGGAGCGGATGACGGGCGCCTGCGGGRTGCCCTTGTAGGAGACTCCTCTCAGCACGGTGGCGTTGGTGCGGTCCAGCTGCACCCCGCACTGTTTCTCCACGGCCTCCAGCGCCGTGTCGCAGAGCAGGCGGCGGAAGCGGGCGCTGCGGGCGGCCAGGCGCAGGGCGGCCGGGTGGAACACCACATCGTACAGGAGGCGGCGGCGGCCGGCGGGGCGCAGCTCCTCGCGGCCCGGGGCCAGGCTGTAGGGCAGCTCCCAGCGCTGCCCGCCGCGCTCGTTGCGGGCCCGCGGTTCCCCCATCAGCGCGTTGCTGCAGACATTGATGTAGCAGCGGCGGGARCCCTCCTGGCTCGTCCGCAGCACGAAGCCGGGTGTCGGGTGCACGAAGCGCACCTCCACGCCGCGCTCCCGCTCCAGCGCCGCCACCTCCTCCTCGTAGAGCCGCCGCTGCTCGGGGTCGTTCAGCTCGGCCGCGTACTCGGCGAAGAGCTCACGGAACCGCTCGTCGCGGAAGGCGCGCTGGAGCCGCTCGGCCTCCTCGGCGCTGAGGTCCAGGTCGTGCAGCCGCCCCCCGCCCGCCATGGCCCGGC